ATTATATATTTTATATTGTATCGATTTTCGTGAATGCTGATTGTGTCTTAGTATTGTCCTTGGAGGATAAGCTTGATATGAGAAAAAAGCATGCAAATTTGAAATGTGGAGTACCTAAATTATTATCATGAAGATTTAATTCGATTTTAAATTTTGTTCATTAGTGCTATTATTTTCTTATTTGAATTAAATAATTTCCAATAATATAAAAATTTACATCGAAATTGGAATTCTTACTCATAAAACTAGCGCGTTGAATATGTTGAACTTGCAGGAGTTTTTGTTTGCATTCCCTTCGATATCCATCTGACAACCTATGTGACTTTGCTGAAGAAAATTATATTTGAGAAGATAACTTTTTTTATATTTCGATTTCGATTTTTGAAATTATAATAGTTATAAAAATTAGAACAATAAGTGTATTGATCCTCCCAAATTATTTTAAGATTTTGATATTTACAAATGTAAATTTTCCGAGTGTAAAGAGTGTTTTGAAATCACGAAAATCTTATATCTACTAACGAAGAAACCGTATAATCGGATTTCATACATATAAAATAGTCGAATGTATGTCTTTGTGAAGGAATAAATGAATATAATTATCACGATAAAATTTATCGAGTCATTATATTCTTTTATAAAATGAGATGTACATTGATGAGGTCAACTTGAATTCTTTTTGGGAATAAGAAGTGTATTAAATGGCCAGTAAAAATAAACTACATAAATATTTACAATAATGCGCACATAAATAACATAATAATATATATGAAAATCAAAAGGGATCCAAGGCATTACCAATCTCTTATCTTGGAAGTTCTGTAACTTCAAAAAAGTCCTAAATTTCTTTGGATTATTAATCAATTTGATCCTGTCTTAAGTCAAGGAGACGGGCCTTTTCTCTTGATATGGAAGGATCAACTGAACATTGAATCATGTTGCTTAATCTGAAGGGAATGCCTTTAAAGCTTTTTATTGGTGTAGAATTCAATGCTTATGCATAGTATTACGCTCCCATCAGTTACACCGACTTTTTCAAAGGAAAATGATGTAGGAAGCTCACATCCATTCAAGATGAAGCGCATTTTCTTTGGAGAACTGGTGTTTAGTGTTTCAACCTTGCTTTCTCGTTAGCTGTAATTTGTTTCACTGAAAAACCTGGTTCAACCAAGTAAAAAGGATAATAATTTCAAGGTCATTAATACGATGTAAAAAAGCACGTTGACGATTTGAATGAGTAAACGTTACTTTTTTCACAATTTGTCCCAAAAAAATTAGACACAAAAAGTTAATACTAGTGGTTTAGATGTTTATAATAGTTTTTTCAAAATTTGTAAAACCAATTATTTTGAATGATGGGAGGATCTTTTCTGTCAATCGAAAAAGTTTATAAATTCCCCTAAACTAGTTAATTGTGATTAGCACAATGTTTCTATGATATCGCTCATAATTCTCAATTTGAAAAAAAATCTTGACTACTGTTTTTCGATTTTAATGAGTAATTATTATTGTTAGTGATTTTTCGGCCTATTTTATTAACATTTAAAGTTTATAGATCCCATTTCTAAAATAGCGAATAGAATAATGAGTTTACGCTATAGCCACACATAAAATAATAGTCAAATATTTTTGGGAGTAGATTTGTTCGATCATGTTTGGGATACATAATTTTGATAAAATTCATCAAAGAGATACCAATGTTCAAAGCGCGAATTCGACGCGTAAACTTGAGAACTTATTTCCTGTTGTTCCTGCAACGACTAGTCCATAAACCTTCTGAAATGAAATATAATTTGTTACTTTTTCAACTAACTATTCAAAATAAGTTGAAAGGTCATTATGACAGTATACAATGGATATTTAATATAAGACCTATAGTAAATATTTATATAATAAACAAACAAAATTATGGCTGAAACAAGTTTTTGTGTTTCCATCTTTGATTTCTTGGTCTGACTCCGAACTTACATCTGGCTGTGTTGGCTTTCTATAGTAGAAGAAGGCATTCTACAGCGTAAATAATAATTGCAAGGACCGGAAAGATAAAATAAGGGAAAGAACCGACCAAACGCCGTAGTAAGCGATTTCGCCAACATAATAGGTTGCAGAACCAGTATCCAAAACCAGAGTCCGATCAAAACGCAAAGATCGAATAAATGGTAATAACTCCAGCCAATATTTAAGGATAGATAGGTAAACAAGGCCTGCAAAAACGATATCCGAGATGAAACCTGTGAAAGCAACAAAACCACAAACAATATGAAAAGACACTTTTGACGTACTTGCCTTTTGTAACGTTCCCCATATGAAGAACATAGCCAGATTGCCTTCGAAGTTATAAAGGTGTTATTGGAAGGCAAATTTCCCACAAAACAACGATTGTGAGGAAAATCTTGATCCAAATCTCAAGTTTAGAGAGCGCTCTTCCTACAACTATTGGTCCGCAAGAAAATTATGAGCCACCAGTTGACAGCTTGGCCAGAGTCCAATAATATAACTTGCGTATCATTGAAATAAGGGAAAGGAACCCAAATAAATATAGTTATGATTCCAAATAAGATGAACATCATCGAAAACCGACCATCCTGTCTTTGGATCAATCAATGATCTTTGAGACTCAATAGAAAGGTCCTGACTCGCAATTAACAGCAAAAGTAACATTATCTGTAAGATCTCCTGTGATGTATATTGTATGGATGCCACTTTCGAAGGTCGCATTCATCTGATATAAGGCAACTGTTTTCTTCATCGATTATCTCTTTAAATGTAAGAGTACCTGTAGCATCACCTGATACGTTGAATACTTTGGTCTGAGATGGATCAAATGATATGACATTTATTGGAAATGTTGTATCTTTTGTATTTGCAAACCTGAAATGCTGTGGAACTGGATGTGATATGATTGCATTGTATTCGCTGTATTGATTTATTGATTTATAGTTAATTCTGTTGTTATCTAAGTAAGAATTGTAAGATCTGATGAAACTTTAGTGGCTCTGGCAGTTAATTCATAACACCACGTAGTGAACTGGTTCAATCTTACGTGGGTGAGTATGGCCATTAAGGTATACTGTAATATTGGTATATGTTTAAGCATATCTTTGAATGTGAGACCTGATTTTGATTTTGCTGAACGCGGATATAACTCATGTGTATAATGGCAGGTTAAAATAGTATATTTGCAATTGGTTGGTATGTTTGAGAATTTCTTCTAATCGGTCAAGATGCTTCGGAAGAATTGCGAGAATAAATGCAAGTGGACCATATCCTGTTGGGAATTCTTGTGGTGTAAAAGCGACTATTTCTGACATTGCGCCTTTCGTGAGAAAATGCTTAAAATCTGGCATTTCTGTAGTAGTATATTTTGCAGGTTAGAGAATTAACTGGATCCCATTCAGTAAGTCCCCAGAGAATCATGATTTCAAAAATCTCAAAATGTTCCTCTTTCGAAATTCCGGATGAATTAATTGACATCTGCATAGATTTTCAATGATCTTCATGTTGATAAGAAGCGGTAGGAGATTTACTTCCACGTAGTTATCAACCAAATCACCACTTATAAGAGCCCACGATGGTTTAACTTTTCTGTGAATATAACTGAGAGAACGGTTTAATCTTGCGCGAGCATCTGGATTATTGGGAGTTACGTGAATGTCTGTTAAATGCGAAACTACAACTGGCTTATCACTGTAATTATAAAGTGGAAGTTTTTCATCAACGTAGATTTTCTTCACTTTATACTTAAACTTTGTTACATATATTGCAAGAAAAGGGAGAACACAAATCAGGAAACCAAGGGACCGTATGAACAAATCCTTCCATTTGGCTGGAATGACTCATTATAAAAATGGAGGACTATTCAATTTTGTTGAATACAAAACTCTGAAAACTTTGCATAATTGTTGGCATTTCATGTGCACAATATTATTATTAAAAATCAATATCTGAAAAATATCGAAAATTAAGAAGATTTGATTTGCCATTAATAGAGTGCATATTTTTAATATTTGTAATATCTTAAAAATTTCAATGTAATAAACGGCTATTGCCATCATTATGTTCGATAAAAATTGTGTTTTTGTAGAATTGAAACCTTTGTGAGTGTGTAGTTCTTTCTATCAAATGGTAAAAAACGGTATTATTTACTCGTTCTTTTGTGTTCTCTTAATCAACATTTTTAATGAACTTTCATATTCAACAATGGCCTCTAGATTGAAATCGCCATCGATGTCTTTTAAAATGGAAACCTCTGATCATTTTGATGAAAAACTGATGGTTGGTATATATTTTTTTGATTGACTCGTACCTCTTTCTCCTGTTAAATTATATTATGTATGTGGATTATATTAAATTAATATTGTTATGAAAAAATCAGACAACTTTGATGAGGTTTTTGGGCATTACACAGCTATCTCTAATAGTTCAAATAATGGAATCAAATATATACTTTTCCGTTAATGATACCAGATAGAAACATATTCCAATTTCGGTTAGAAACATTGAGCTGTCAAAAACCCCGAAAAAAATGTATGTATACTATTAACTAATAATCGAATGCTGTGGTTGCCAGAAAAATAAATCATGGTGGTTCCAAATTGATTATTTGGCATCATTATCCAAAAGAATAAAAAAAATGTTCAGAATAAAATGTTGTAAATTTGAATAAAGCTTTTATTTTCTCAACTCAGAATGAGACTATTGTCAGGACTCTTTTATTTGACTGGAATCGAGGAAATAAAGATAGGTGACGTGTTTTTTAATAATTTATGAGTGTATCCATCAGCCTTCTTTAAAGAGCTTCTCTTGCTCGCATTCGTGCAAAAATCATCTCACAGAGGTTCAACTGTGCATTCAGGCCTTCGGTCGCCTTTTCAGAATTGCTGATGACAATGGAGATAAAGATTGATTCTTAGAGAACGAGTTTCCAAGTCTCATGGGAGATATTGGCGTTCTTTTAATAAGGGCTGAAATTGCTGAACTTGGCGTTCTTCTTGATCGTAATGGAGTACGGTTCAATTGACTTCGTTGATTTGTTTTCTACCCGGACCCCCAATGAATGCTGCTCGCCAGGGTGCTATGATGAGTGTTTCAACCAGTTGATGCTGATTAAGTCAGGAACTCTCGATCTAATGATATTCGCATCCGTAATCCAAAACCTCACTCAATCTGACCAACAAAACATTGCTCAGAATCTTTTCAAGATTCATTCTGATAAAAATGGCGATAACTCTATTTACAAAGAAGAGTTTCAATCTTTACTATCGGCGAAGTCAGTCCAAAACTTCAACACTGTATCGCAGTTCATCGAAACAATTTACAGTCTATGGAACTTAAAACAACCATAATCTGACTATTTGATTACGATTAAAATGTGAAAAAAAATTATGTTAACTATTTTAAGTAATTGAATAGCATTACATTCATACTTACCTAATTAATAAAGTCTGAAATGATTGATTGAAAAAGTAAAAGACTTCAAAAACATTTTTTTTATATTAAGTATTACAAAAAACAATGTATTCTAAAAACGTAATTGACCATGCTTGTAATAAATTGGTCGATCTCATCTGGTTTTATATTCTTTCGTATTTATGTTCGAAACATGATCCATCTTTTTGGAAGATTTTTTGAATAGTAAGAGATTTTATTTACCGATTCTTCGCGTTTCTATCGTATCGCCTATTTCCGCTTTTTGAGTTCTAATCTCTTCACGATAATTCGTGATTAGCCATCCGAAGTTGTATTATTGATGAGTATGCATGTATAGTATGGTTTTCTTCATTGTCAAATTATTTTCATCCTCTTCAAGAGAAGATCTACATCTTTGTTTAGTAATTTTTGGATTTTTTCGTGAAAATTTTGCCAAATGAATTTACGCGTACTTTCCGATTAAATAACATATGATCGTATATTTCACTGAATTCTTTTTCCATTTGGCGGAATACAGATTCGACAAATGGGACATATATACTACATAAACTGACCTGAGTTCCCATTTCGAGCAAAACTTCTGTAATGCTGCGCATAGGTTCTCGTCAAAGCCGTAGTTCAACATTACAAGACTAAAACGACCTCATGAAGATTATTTTACTTAAGTGTCAATTTTTGGATAAAACCTTTATACAGTTTGCAAATTTAACATCATTCAGAGTGTCACAATAATCAAAATCTCATGGACAAAGTCCTTGAAACGACGAACATTACATGGGCTCGTATTTCATTCATAGTAAAATTAACTCAAAAATGAGATATAGCATATAACATTCGTCATGAGTATCACATCAGATATAAAACATGCTGTAAAGAGAGAAATACTCAAAAAAAACTACAAAATTAGGGTATAAAATGTCGGAGTTCGTGATTGAGCGGAGTGATGTCGGGTTAAAAAATGCTAAGAAGTGATTTATAGTTGATATTTAATTTGATTGTTTGTATTGAAGAAATTCTGTCCAATGTGATTTGATGCACTATATATTGTATGAGTGGAATATTTAATTTGAGTAAATTCGTGTATGATGCAACTTTCAATAATTATGTTAATTTACTAGAAACTCGACAAAATATTGTTCGCGAATCTTGCTAAAATTTAGTTATGCGGATGTGAGTATTACAGTTTTATTCATTGGCATATCTTAAATTATCAACTTTTCTTGAAAGTGAATATGGCTGCCAAAAGCCAATTAGAAAAAAATGAAACATTTGGAAGACCGTATTTTTTACATTTCCATTCAATAAAATTTTCAATAAAAATTGAGATAAAATATGTCATTTGGAGACTCATTGCTTTGCAAAACGCAATCTGTTTGATTCTTGTAATAGTATCAATCAGCAATTTTTTGGGAAATAAAGAAAATAAAAATATCAAGATATGATGTTGTTTTCATTAGCTACTTACGTTGAAAGCCGCATCTTCATGCATCTTTCTTAGCAAAAAGAAATGAGTATAAATCTTTTAGATTAATGTTCATTAAATCGTTACTTTTGGTATCAATATATTGAGATCTCAATTAAAAAGAATATTTTAATTTTTTATGAAATATAATACCTTTTATGAATGAATATAATGTTTCTTCGTTTAAATTCTTCATAAATTGTTTTTATTTCCGGATTTTTACATTTTTAATTTCAAAAATTTCAATATTAAAATTTGTTATCTTTTAGAGTCAAATTTGAAAACTTATTTTGCAGGAACAGCCTGAGTGATAAACTGTTTAAAATTACTGTTCATGAAGTCAATAAAGTATTTTTTCAATCGTTGGTCATATGATGAGTTGCTATTGAATTTTTCAATATTCAGGATAAACAAATAAAAACAATTCAATTTTTATATTAATACCCCGAAATTTTCCTTGTATTTCACTCAGAATATATTTTCTATATGTTCCCAAAAATTTTTTTAAAATTCATATCTCAAAAATCTTTGCCCTCAAGTCAACAATTTTAGAATAAAGTGCATAATTTCAGATATATTCCAATATCTTAAATAAAATTTAAGTAGCCGTACGTTATAATGGGGATCAAATTCGCAAAATATTTTGATTGCATTATTATTGCTATATGCACAACTGATTTAATTTTGATTCTTTCTCAATAAGTTACTATACACATATAAATAAATAAAAAAATAATAAAATAAATATTATTATAATATAATAAATATAACAAAATAAAAAGAAAACAAAACACCCCCCCTATTAAATAAATAAATATAAAAATAATTATAATAAATAAATTAAAAAATAAATAAAACAAGACAATATATAAAATATAAATAAAATAAAATTATATAACCATATAAAAAAAAAAGAAAAAAAAAAATAAATAATATATAAAAAATAAAAAATACAATACTAAAAAAATAAAATTAAATATAAAATAAATAAAAATAATAAATAAAATAAATAAATAAAATATAGATTATAAATTAAAAAAAGACTAAAATACAGATAGAAATCAAAATAATAATACCCCAAAAAAAAATTAATACAAAATTTTAAAAAAATAAAAACATAAATTATATACCAATAATAATAATACCCAAAAAAAAAATTTATAAACCCAAAATATTAATAAAACATACAAATACAAAAATAAACAATATAAA